ACACCCTCCCGACATCCCCAACACACACACCCTCCCCACATCCCCAACACACACACCCTCTCCACATCCCCAACACACACAACCGCCCCCTACCTCCAAAACACACCCTCCCCACATCCCCAACACATACACCCTCACCCCACCCCCAACACACACCCTCCGCACATCCCCAACACACACACCCTCCCCACACCCCCAACACACACCCTCCCCACATCCCCAACACACACACCCTCCTCACACCCCCAACACACACCCTCCCCACACCCCCAACACACATACCTTCCCCACATCCCAAACACACATACACCCTCCCCACATCCATAACACACACACCCTCCCCACACCCCCAACACACACACCCTCCCCACATCCCCAACACACACCCGCCCCACACCCCCAACACACACCCTCCGCACATCCCCAACACACACACCCTCCCCACACCCCCAACACACACACCCTCCCCACATCCTCAACACACACACCCTCCTCACACCCCCAACACACACGCTCCCCACACCCCCAACACACACACCCTCCCCACATCCCCAACACACACCCGCCCCACACCCCCAACACACACCCTCCGCACATCTCCAACACACACACCCTCCCCACACCCCCAACACACACACCCTCCCCACATCCTCAACACACACACCCTCCGCACATCCCCAACACACACGCTCCCCACATCCCCAACACACACACCCTCCCCACATCCCCAACACACACACCCTCCCCACATCCCCTACACACACACTACTAGTGCGAAAGTTGGAGATGCAGGCTGGAGTGAGAGGGAAGGTACTCCGGTGGATAGAGGAGTACCTAAGCAACAGGAGACAACGAGTCTGTGTGAGGGGTGAGGTCTCAGATTGACGAGACGTCACAAGTGGAGTCCCGCAGGGGTCAGTCCTTGGACCTATACTGTTTCTGGTATATGTAAATGATCTCCCAGAGGGTATAGATTCGTTCCTCTCAATGTTTGCCGACGATGCAAAAATTATGAGGAGGATTGAAACAGAGGATGATAGTAGGAGGCTACAAGATGACCTGGATAGACTGAGTGAATGGTCCAACAAATGGCTGTTGAAGTTCAACCCGAGTAAATGCAAAGTAATGAAACTAGGCAGTGGAAACAGGAGGCCAGGCACAGGATACAGAATAGGAGATGAAGTACTTAATGAAACAGACAGAGAGAAAGATCTAGGAGTTGATATCACACCAAACCTGTCTCCTGAAGCCCACATAAAGAGAATAACGTCTGCGGCATATGCGAGGCTGGCTAACATCAGAACGGCGTTCAGGAACCTGTGTAAGGAATCATTCAGAATCTTGTACACCACATATGTAAGACCAATCCTGGAGTATGCGGCCCCAGCATGGAGCCCGTACCTTGTCAAGCACAAGACGAAGCTGGAAAAAGTCCAAAGGTATGCTACTAGACTAGTCCCAGAACTAAGAGGCATGAGTTATGAGGAAAGGCTGCGGGAAATGCACCTTACGACACTGGAAGACAGAAGAGTAAAGGGGGACATGATCACAACCTACAAAATCCTCAGGGGAATCGACCGGGTAAACAAGGATGAACTATTCAACACTGGTGGGACGCGAACAAGGGGACACAGGTGGAAGCTGAGTACCCAAATGAGCCACAGAGACGTTAGAAAGAACTTTTTCAGTGTCAGAGTAGTTAGTAAATGGAATGCATTAGGAAGTGATGTGGTGGAGGCTGACTCCATACACAGTTTCAAATGTAGATATGATAGAGCCCAATAGGCTCAGGAATCTGTACACCAGTTGATTGACGGTTGAGAGGCGGGACCAAAGAGCCAGAGCTCAACCCCGCAAGCACAATTAGGTGAGTACACACACCCTCCCACATCCCCAACACACACACCCTCCCCACATCCCCTACACACACACCCTCCTCACACCCCCAACACACACACCCTCCCCACATCCCCAACACACACACACACCCTCCCCACATCCCCAACACACACACACACCCTCCCCACATCCCCAACACACACACACCCTCCCCACATCCCCCACACACACACCCTCCCCACATCCCCAACACACACCCTCCCCACATCCCCAACACACACATCCTCCCCACATCCCCAACACACACACACCCTCCCCACATCCCCAACACACACACACCCTCCCCACATCCCCAACACACACATCCTCCCCACATCCCCAACACACACACCCTCCCCACATCCCCAACACACACACCCTCCCCACATCCCCAACACACACACCCTCCCCACATACCCAACACACACACCCTCCCCCCACCCCCTACACACACACCCTCCCTACACCCCCTACACACACACCCTCCCCTCATCCCCAACACACACACCCTCCCCACATCTCCAACACACACACCCTCCCCACATCCCCTACACACATACACCCTCATATCCAAACACACACACCCTCCCCCATCCACACACACCCTCCCCATCGCCAACACACCACTCTCCCCACACCCCCACACACACACCCTCCCCACACCACCAACACACACACACCCTCCCCACACCCCCAACACACACACCTTCTCAACATCCCCACACACACACCCTCCCCACATCCCCAACACACACACCCTCCCCACATCCCCAAACACACCACCTCCCCACATCCCCAACACACACACCCTCCCCACATCCCCAACACACCACCTCCCCACATCCCCACACACACACTCCCTTCCCACATCTCAAACACAAGCACCCCTCCCCACATCCCTTACACACCCTCCTTACATCCCTAACACACACCCTCCCCACATCCCCAACACACACACCCTCCCCACAACCCCAACACACACCCTCCCAACACCCTCCAACACACACACACCCTCCTCACATCCCCAACACACACCCTCCCAACACCCTCCAACACACACACCCTCCCCACATCCCGAACACACACACCCTCCCCACATCCCCAACACACACCCTCCCAACACCCTCCAACACACACACCCTCCCCACATCCCGAACACACACACCCTCCCAACACCCCCAACACACACACCCCAACACACACCCCCAACACACACTCCCTCCCCACATCCCTAACACACACCCTCCTCACATCCCCAACACACACACACCCCTCCCCACTCACCAACACACACACCCTCCCCCACACCCCCAACACAGACACACACTAAGGGGCCTCGTAGCCTGGTGGATAGCGCGCAGGACTCGTAATTCTGTGGCGCGGGTTCGATTCCCGCACGAGGCAGAAACAAATGGGCAAAGTTTCTTTCACCCTAAGTGCCCCTGTTACCTAGCAGTAAATAGGTACCTGGGAGTTAGTCAGCTGTCACGGGCTGCTTCCTGGGGTGTGTGTGTGTGTGGTGTGGAAAAAAAAAGTAGTTAGTAAACAGTTGATTGACAGTTGAGAGGCGGGCCGAAAGAGCAAAGCTCAACCCCCGCAAAAACACAACTAGTAAACACACACCCTCCCCACTTCCCCAACATACATCATCCCCAACACATACCGATTCTGTATCCCCAACACAGTAGTTAAATCCTAAAATGAGGAAATATAATAAGTTAGGCAACAAATTCATCAGTTCAAGGAGCTTTTTTCAGTACAGGTTGAAGAGGTTACACAGGGAATAGAAACGTGTAAGAACGACATGCACAAGTGGCCAGAGAGAAAGAAATATTAGAAATGTCAGTAAAGGAAGCCAGAAACTGCAGCAGTCAGAAAGGCTCAGACATTAGAATAGAAGTCATAAAGTAACTCTTATCAAACCTGAAGCTGGTGCAAAACACAGTTGATCTAAGTAAGTTCTTATAATAATCTTCACTTGGAAAAAAAGGATTTAACATCTAGATCAGAAATAGCCACAGAAGAAGTAAAATTAGTAGATAAAATTGTTGGGCAAGTGAAATGTCTTGTAACAGAAGATAATGTCTTTGACTGCAGGAAAATTGTAAGGTACGAAAAAGGTAAGGATCGACCCTTATGGATCACCCTAAATGTAGCTGAATAGGAAAAAGTTCTCAGGAATGTTAGGATATTGCAAAATGATGAAAAGGGTAAATAATAATCATTAAAATTAGATCTTACAACGGAAGGCACTGAAGCTGAAATTGAACCTCTTCTAAGCAATTCGTTTAAATGAGAGCAGGAATGAAGAATTTTTTTTCTACAAGGTGATAGGGGTAGGCAAGCCTGTGAAATGGTACAAAAAGACAAACCAACAAAATCATTGGAGAAAGGAGGTGTAAAGAACAAGGGGAGAAGGAACATGTTCCTGGAAATTTTATGCACTAACATAGATGGAGGGAGATAAAAACATAATGTAGCTAAATCTATATAAATAAAAAGGTGCTAGTGGTCTTGTAAAACCAATAGCACGCATAGCGTTTCAAGCAGGTCTTTAATCGTAATTCTTTCCCCCGGAATACGACACGCTAAATTGTTTAACAACTAGATACCCATTCACTGCTGGGTGAGCTGCTCACCCAGCTCACTGCTGGGTGAGCAGAGGCTACAATTAACGATTGGTCCCCAGTCAATTCTCCCCCGCTAGGATACGAACCAAAGGACAAAGCATTCGCGAAGCGCCCGGCAAGTGCTTTACTCCTGCGCCATCGGGACTGTAAGTGCTGCATGTTGGATACAATTCTTCACGAAGTCCTTGAGCATGCTGGGACAGCGCTGACCCTTCAAGTTTGAGACAAAGCTTAAATGTTTCCCAAGCTATAAATCATAATAAAGTCTTTGACTTCTGGAAGATTTGTACCGGCAGGGCGAAGGGTTACCCCACTAGCTACTCAGTGTAAACACTGCAAATCGGTCCACTGGGATAATTCAATGGTTTAGAATACTACATCAAGAAAGTTTAGGATTGTGTGCTGCCAAACAGGACCCGCCTCCGTGCTCCGAGAGATTCCCATTTCAGAGATTTTCTATTGGCAGTCCCTAAGTCATCCCTGGGCACTCACCTTGTCCCTCAGATCCTTTAGTTTGGTGTTGCCCTTTGCCTTGCCACTCTTATTCTCAACGAACATACGTGTATTTGTTGCAGTGCATTAGCAGGCTAATATGGTCTCATCTCTCACATATCTGAAAGGAAAAAGAGAAGATATGAAGATATCAATAAAATTAGGTAAATAGTACAGCAAGTCTATTGGTACACAAACTGTCTGCGGTGTCGTGAGTCTGAGAGTGGTGGTGGTGGAGGGAAGTGGACGAATGGACTTTGTTGAAGCATGCAAACGCATGCTTCAACAAAGAGTGTAAAGAAGACAGAAGAAGACGAAAAATCATGGGAAAAGTATAGGAACTTAGAAACAGTTAAATAGGGAAGCAGTAAAGAGGGCCAGGACTGAGTAAGTGAGAAGCTGCTCTACACCGTCAACGACAACGTCAGCATAGAACGAGAGAAGGAAGATACCGCTCTCAACTTTCTACGTCAAGAGTTGGGAATCGAAACCACCCACATCCAACAGCGACAGCAAGCTCAAGCCAGCTTACTAATACGTTTCGCCTTTCACATTTTATTAAAATGACGCCCTCTTTTGTAGAGACGGAGGTAGAATCACTTTTTACATCGTTTGAAGCTTTTGGAACCCAGCTATAGTGGCCTAGGAACCAACTGACATTAATTCTCAGAGCTCATCTTACAGGAAAAGCCGCCTTGACAATCTGTACTCTTGCCAGCGAGACTGACTACGATGTGTTAAAACAAGCTTTCCTTGAGGCTTATCTTCTGTCCACCGAAAGTTATCACCGACGCTTCAGGGACTATGTAAATACCATTAATAAACCATAGTTTGAATTCATACAGACAAAAAATAGATATTTTATGAATTGGCTAGAATCAGCACACAGATAAATACATATCATAGTTTGATAAATCTCATTCATGTAGAAGAATTTACGCGTCGTATTCCTAACCGCGTACGCCCTTATCTTGCACATAAGGAGGAGACGAATCTCAGAAAGTGTGCACAGTTAGCTGAGATCTATAGTCTCATGCATAAAGCTTTTGATTCCAATTCCAGTAATCCATCTTGGTCTAGCTATTCTCTATCTAAAGTAAGCTCAAAAGACACTGCAGGTGTTTACTACAGGGTACTACAAAACGTATGGACACACCATTCACAAGTGTCCAAATTTTCACTATAAAACCAACACTGATCCACATCAGCCTAAACCTCACCCTCCTAAGCCTAACAATAAGCCTGTATTGCATTTAATGTTCCCGTGACTGATTTTACTTTATTTGACAGACATGTGTGCCAAGGAACTGTCTCTGCCGGTCGGCCGAGCGCCCGTAATTTTTATTTCCCCGATCGCCCGAGCGGACAGCACGCGGGATCCTGTGGTCCTGGGTTCGATCCCAGGCGCCGGCGAGAAACAATGGGCAGAATTTCTTTCACCCTATGCCCCTGTTACCTAGCAGTAAAATAGGTACCTGGGTGTTAGTCAGCTGTCACGGGCTGCTTCCTGGGGGTGGAGGCCTGGTCGAGGACCGGGCCGCGGGGACACTAAAGCCCCGAAATCATCTCAAGATAACTTAAGATAACCTGCCAACGGTAGAGATTCTGATGGACAAGTCCTTTAAGTATCTTGAGGGACATGGCTTTGCTGCCGAATCAGTACTCTTGCCACAGGAACAGATTACGATGTGTTACCGAGAACTGCTACACCTTGAGTCACCTACACTGGAGAATCCGTTCTGATCACCGACCTCACAGCCACCACACTTTACCCGCTCGCCACAGTTCACCTAGATTGTCCGTACATCAGTAGAGAAGTCCAAGTCACTATTCGGTAAACACCTTAACCCCTGCGAGGAATCCAACTTCTCCTGGGCAACGACTTGGCCAACCAACAAGACTCCACCAACAAGGTTATCTACAATAAGCCCCAGGAATGTCAATCGGCCTTGGAAGAGGAAAACCTTGCCATGACTTACGCAGCAGAAGAAGAGGTTATGGTGACAGAAGAACCAGCAGTCATCTCCAGCTGTGCTTTAGTGATGACCCATTCTCAAGCTGCCCCAGCAACCACTAGTAGCAGACGCTGTCCCTCAACACTTGCACGGCCTCCCACTGAATCTAAACCTGTTTGAGTTCCGTAAGTTACAACAATCAGAAATTTCTTTAAAATCCTCGTTTTTTCCAGGCTCACATTAAAAAAGTTTCCATTCCAGGATTTTATATCAGTGACGATCAATTGCTGTATCGTAAATTCAGACCCAGTAAGCGCAAGGCAGAAGATGACTGGGCAAATGTAAATCAGTTAGTACCAACATCACTCAGATCAGAGATCTTAAATTAAGCTCATTGCCTAGTCTCATTATGGCATCAATAAGACTTATAGTGTTCTCCTTCATGATTATTTCTGGCCAGGCATGGCACGAGATGTCAAGACCTTTCTTAATACTGGTCAGACATGCCAAACAGCAGGTAAGCCTAATACTCCCATGCCAAAGGCACCACTCATACCAATCCCTGATTCTACAGAACCATTTTCTAAATTAATCATTGATTGTGAAGGACCATTACCAAGATCCAAGTCAGAAAATCAGTATACTGTCACCATCATGTGTCTAACTACCATGGATAAACATTTAGTGAACATTTTTACTCAATATGGATTCCCAAAAGAAATTCAAAGTGACTGTGGAACCAATTTCACCAGTGAGTTGTTCAAGAAAATCCTTCATGAATTTAATATCACTCAAGTCTTGTATAGCCAATATCATCCTGCTTTACAAGGATCTCTGTAAAGTAGTCATCAGACCATAAGATCTTTGCTTAAGAAGTTCTGCATCACTACTGAGATACTTAATTAGATACTCAGTTAGACTTCCTCATGCTTATTTCCAGAAGCATTCCCAATGAATCTCTTGGAGTATCTCCTAATGAGATGCTCTACGGCCGTAAGTGCCGTGGTCCTCTTAAAGCTTTCAAAGATTCACTGACCTCTTAACGCCTTCAGTGATCCTCCTCAATATCTCTCAGTTTCTTAAAAGCCTGAGACATAAGCTTGAACAAACTCATAGCTAATAGCAGCTTTGTGTTGAGTAATTAGAGGACGTAAATGATTTTGGGTTATCTTGAGATGATTTCAGGGTTTAGCGTCCCCGTGGCCCGGTCCTCGACCAGGCCTCCTTTTTGTTACACACCCCAGAAAGCAGCCCGTAGCAGCTGTCTTACTCCCAGGTACCTATTTACTGCTAGGTAACAGGAGCATCATGGTAAAAGAAACTCTTCCCATCTGTTTCCGCCTCCACCAGAGATCGAACCCGGAACATCAGGACTACGAATTCGAAGCGCTGTCCACTCAGCTGTCATGCCTCCTTTTTTTGGTGTAGTAGAACCCAAAGCACAAATACCATAGTTGAGATCAGGATAGATGAGAGAGTAATAGAGCGTCACCAGGGCAGAGCGAGGCACAAAATATCTGATCTTTGAAAGAATGGCAACAGTTTAAGAATTTTTGTTTGCTATATTTAGAATGTGTCCCTGGAAATTCAGCTTTTATTTTTTGTTTGAGATATATACAAGAGTTGTTACATTCTTGTACAGCCACAAGTAAGCGTAGCGTTTCGGGCAGGTCCCTGGAATACGATCCCCGCCGCGAAGAATCGTTTTTACAACCAAGTACACATTTTACTGTTGAGTTAAACAGAGGCTACAGTTAAGGATTTGCGCCCAGTAAATCCTCCCCGGAAAGATACGAACCCATGACTAAGCGCTCGCGGAACGCCAGGCGAGTGTCTTACCACTACACTACGGAGACTGGTTGTTATTGATGAGGACACCAAGGAATTTACAATTTACTTTGTCACTAATTTGGATATTGTTTATTCTTAGAATAATTTGATTTGAGGATTTATTACCAAACAAAATATAGAAAGTTTTGTCAATGTTAAGGGTGAGTTTGTCAGAAGTTAGCCAAAGATGGACTTTATTTAGTTCTGTATTCACTGTGACATTTAGAGCAAGAGGGTCAGGACTGGAGAAGATGAAGGTTGTGTCGTCAGCAAATAAGATTGGTTTGAGGTGTTGAGAGGTATTTGGAAGCTCATTAATGTATATGAGAAAGAGGAGATGGCCAAGTATGCTGCCCTGAGGAACACCAATGTTGATGGGTAGGGTGGGAGAAATGGAATTATTCACAGAAACATACTGGAGCCTGTCAGTAAGGTAAGATTTGAGGTATTGCAGGGAGTGTCCTCTGACTCCATAATGATGTAATTTAAGAAGAAGATTTTGGGGTTAACAGTGTCAAAAGCCTTACGCAGGTCAACAAATAACCCAACAGGGAACTCATTTTTATCAAGAGCTGCATGTATCAGGTTACATAGAAGTTTGTTTGTGCTAATTTGTTAACCCAAAGAGTAATATGAAAGTATAATTTCACAAGCACTCTAAAGTAAGAAAATTTAAAGTAGGAAACTTTGTACTTGCATATTTTCCTATCCCTAGATCTATCCAAAGCAAATATTCAGGACCTTATTGAACCAAGGAATGCAAAACCAACAATTACTTCTAGAGACTTCTGATCGGCGTCGCAAGACCCGACTTTGCTACACCAACTTGCGGAAATCCTATAGAGGTAATTTACAACCAGTGTTGTTGTCTGTATCCGCTTTTACAGATCAATATTCCATTCGTGACAAATTGGCGCCACATCTCTATCAGGGTGTAATAATAGTGATCCAGTGTTATCTAATCTTGACATTTTAAAAGATCTTCATTCTTATCTGCAAAATTCCGATAATAACGCTTCTATGGTAAAATTAATCACCACCTATAATAAACTGTTCAATGACACTCCTCAAGAATGTACTCTTGTGCAACATGATATACAGCTGCTTTCTGACACGGTGCCTCTCATACAGCCTTACTCCCGCGGTCCTGGGGCATCAGTCCCAAGAAGAAAGAAGCCATGCTCTCTAGTACCTCGTCAGTAATGGACTAGCTACACCCTGTAAGCCCCCAGTTGTTCTCACCTTGTATACTGGTATCCAAACGTTATAGCAGGGTAAGACTGTGTGCTGACTATAGAAAAGTAAACTCTGTCACAGTTAAGACTTTTATCCCTTG